TATTGTAGTGTTTTTCTGTTATTTATATTGGACTGCAGCGATTTTTTCTCGAGGCTAACGTCTAAAATTGGTTCGGTAGTATTTACCACTGTAGTCCACTTGTTTTTGTCATAATCGTTTTACAGTCAAAATCGGTAGCCTCTTGAAAAAGTTGCTTCTCTAAGGGAAGGTTGCAAGACCAAATCATGGTAGTGCTTTTATGACCAGGAGAAGAGATCATAGGTAATTGCAAATTAACCAAACCAGGACAACCGTAGTGGCAAATCTGTGCAATGCATTTGATTGGCACATAATTTCTGAGACACTTTAGATGCGTTTCAATTCCATTGTTTTTTATTTCTTCGATATATTTATTCGTCATAGTATAGATTATGAGCAAGATATCGCCAACGCGAGGGCAGATGTGCAATGCCTCTTTTACAAAATTCCATTGAGTTTTGATCGAGGAAGGTTGGAATGTCGATTTTGACATCGTCATTTCTTCTCCAAAGGTGAACTAAAGAGGTGAGCGGATAGTCGTTCGTTGTCACAGGTTAGTGCTACAAGGCGGAGCTAAAAGAACTGACCGCCCGAGAGTCTCCGAATTCTTGATGAGTTTTCTTCACAAGGTGCGTCGAATGACCTCAGAAAAGGAGCAGACTTTGCCTAACTTCGCCTTTAGTTTAGCGACGTCGCCATCGAGGTGTCGATTTTTGTCGTCACCACTGACTCTGGTACTAGTGGGTATTGGTTTCTAGCGCAAAGTCTCTGGTTTCTGTCAACAACCCAGTAGGATCAAATTTGGAGGAGATCGGGCTTTTGCTGTCAGAATTCCGAAATCGCGCAAAGAAGGCTACTACCGCTTGTTGACACTGCACCCAGTCTACGATAACCATGAAAATGCTGGATGGTCAATTGAGGGAGCTTTGAGGAACCAACAAAACCAAACGACGATATCAAAACGTGTTTGGAGCTGATTTAGCTCAGAGCATGTGAAATACAAACTCCATATTCAGTTTATCGAAGAGTTCACTATCTTTGTCTGCACAGCAGAGCGTTCATTAGCAAAACTAATACTGTCTGATTCCTCTGTCAATGGCGTGGGGTTAGTCATCGAAGTGCCGTTCGGGTGCCAGGGTTGGAGTGTGAATCATTTTCCTAATGAAAAGCAACTCTGAGCGGCAGGAATGACACTGGTGCACGTGGAGGTGAGGATGCGCTCTCAACTATCTTCTGGCTGATCCTCTATCGGCCCGGCGCGTGGAACATCCTAATCGATAGTCATGAAGAAAGGGGCTCACAAGGAGGTTTTGAAGAAATTGGAATTCTAGCTAAAGGAGTTAACGAGCGAATGAGGTGCCTAGCACTCGATAGGTAGCTAGTAATTGAGGCGCGCAAAGCTTTGGAACAGGCTTTAACACTTTATAGTTTTAATAGCATTACATATAAAGTGTCTCAAAAATTATGTGCCAACTTAATATAATAGTCCGAAGGGAACTGTGGGGAGTATGACAATAACACTGGGAAAAGCCTTGAGAAAATACTTATGAAACTAGAGAGTGTGGTCAATCGTTGATACATTTAATAGTAAGGCTGGCTGTTAGGAGTCCGCGATACGTCGCAGGTTTCGCTGATTTTCGCGATTTGCGCGATTCACGCGACGGGTTCACGGAAATCACAAGTGCCCGATCAATACTGCAAGGTGTTCTCCAATCCTGCCGCCAATTCTGCTTGATAGTGATGGCTGAATGACAACTGCTCATGATTCACTTTATTTCAGATTTCAGGATGTCAAATGTTCAATGAGCAATGACGAAATCGCGCAAATCGTAGAAAATCGGCGAAACCTGGAAAGATGGTGGACTCTGACACAGGGTCGAGTCGTATCGTTGCTACTTTCGAACAGTTTTTACGACCTCCCTTCCTTCAGGAACTAGGCGGGAGGCAATACTTCCCTTAAACACCAAAATTCAATACCTCTTTGTATTTCCCGTGTAATTTTACCCATATTTCAATCACATGCACTTTTACAACTAGCAAATACGACCCCCCCTCTTACTAAACTTCACCAAAACATTGAGGGGCCCCCCGTTTCTACTTGGTTAGCAACATTAGGTTTTTGACCCTGCGCTGACACCGGTCTACCTACGATCAAATGTAAACATACGAGATGAAATATGGCCTCTATCATCTCCACTTTGTTTCTAACTGCATTTTGGCTTTGCAAGTACCAAAATCCTATTCTATTTGAATGCTAGCGTGGCGGAACCTTCGTAGGGATCACTCTGCTATTTACTTTAAAAGGATAAGATGAATGGATGAAGCATTTATGCCGTTGGCACCCGTTGATTGCGGGACGAATTCTACTTTCATTTGTACATTCGTAGTAGCGTTTGGATGCGATATATGCGATACTTGCGGGGCCAGTCAATGAACAGACCAGGGTTTTTTATCCCCAAACAAGTCTGGCAGCAATTTACCGATCCCGGAGGGATGTGAAGGCTTGTTGGCCCTGACTTAGCAATGTATAGTATATATTCAACCATAAAATTCGGTCGTTTAGCCCTTCCACAATTTTTAGGTTGGAGGTATCCACAAGGGCCCCCCACTTCTTCACGATTTGTGGGCGCGGCCGCGCGCGAAACGGGGCCGAGTAGCTGCGGGCATCAGCTTGCATTAAGTATTCGAAGTTACATTAGCGGTCCTGGCTATCAGGCCGGGTGCAGCAAGCCCCAACGAGGGGAGGGATCCCCAACCTTGGGGATATATCCCCAACCTTGGGGATATATCCCCAACCTTGGGGATATATCCCCAACCTTGGGGATATATCCCCAACCTTGGGGATATATCCCCAACCTTGGGGATATATCCCCAACCTTGGGGATCCATCCCCCAACCTTGAGGGATGGATCCCCAACCTTGGGGATATATCCCCAACCTTGGGGATATGTCCCCAACCTTGGGGATATATCCCCAACCTTGGGGATATATCCCCAACCTTGGGGATATATCCCCTACTTCGTCGCAAGACCCATCGTTTTTCGGTGGCTCCTGTGACGCAACCGTGCGGGACGGTCACTGCCGTCGACCCTCTGCGTCTCTGCAGGCAGGGGATACATCCCCCTAGTCGAGACTAGGGGGATTCGTCCCCTCACTTGGCGACGCGGAGAATTGAAGGCAGTTTCGGGTTTCTTCACCCTCTATTTCGCTTCGTTATTCGCATTTCTTTTTTCGCCATTACCTTGCCTTTGTTCATTCGCTGTTTTCTAAGCACTGTTCACAGTTTTAAAATTATCGAATATTCAAATTTGCGAAAAGAATCAGATACATATCAACATTAACCCTTTCGGCCCTGGCGGTGGCAATTGCCACCACCAAATTCAAACGCTTGCATTTCCGCTGAAACAGCATAGTTTTTCTAATTCTGCTAGAGTTTGCTTCAGTCAACCTTCCCCTTCCTAATTATGAGCTTAACCGGCCATTTCATTGTTTATTGCTGTTAGTATTGCAAGTATTTGTGTACAAGTGCAACAGTGAATGGGCGCTGACCCCCGCAACCGGCCAAGTAAGTGTGACTTTGTCTTAAAATACTTGAAGTGGATCCATTCCTAAATCAAAATTATGGGTTATAATATTATGCAAGATTATAAACTTTTTCGGCACAACTATGAAACTTCGAATTGTTTCGACATAAGCTTAAAAACTAAGAAGGTGGGCCAATTTTCAAAGCTTCTTCAGTTTCTTTGTTTGTGATCGAATAGCTTCCAAATTTCGCCATAATGATACCTATATGGCTCACAAGTGTGGGGGGGTGGGGCGGTAAACAATAGCTAGAAGTAAAATTTCTCCACGGGGAAATTCAGGTCCGAAAGGGTTAAGAATCTGCGCACGCGCGAAAGCAGATGCGAAAAGGATTAAATGCGTGTCGACATTGTAGAGCACGCTGTATTAGCGTTGCTGGAGGATTTTTGCACCGCCGTTTCGCGCTGTCGATCTCCGATTGACTCGGTCGATAGACACCCATTTCTTTTAAAAGGATTCGCAGATTTTGCGCGATTCGATGCTCCTCCCATTTTGTAGATCGATACGCATTTCATTCATTTCGCATTTGCGCAGATTCGTTCGTTTTGAGCGTCATTCGGCTGTGGCGCAATGTGTGAACAGTGCCTAGGAAAGGCTCAATGTGCCTCTGCGAGAGGAGGGCGTGGCGCGGGATCCACCGCTCGTTGCGCTAAAAAAGGGAATTTTAGAAGTTCGGCGAAAATTGGCGGGGTATATTCTAGTTAGGGGGCATCACGATGCAGTTTGTTCAACGTGAGAAGGGAGAAGGCAGAGCTTGAGAAGGAAGACTGCTTAGACACTTCGGATTATCTCTTCTCCTCTAAGGGTCAGCCCCAAAACTGAGCGTTTCCGTGAATCTGACACCATTCACGGGGCCACACTGAGCCAGAAGAAACCACAGAATCAAAAAAAGAGGGAAAGGCAATTGAAGAAAAATGGTTAACGATGTGAAAGAGGCGCTCAGCCTCCAAGACCATTTGCCACTGTATTTCGTAGTATATACCTCTGTGTGCCGCTTGCAATCTTCTATACTTCAGGGCCTCAATGGAGATCGTCGCGGGTTTGGGCTGGTTGGTCTACTCAGGTACGGTTGTGAAATCTCCCCTATAGACCAGCGTGAGAAGAACTACTATCTGGAAACCTCAGTTCGCAGAGCCGGCCAATGTTGTCAGGAGTCGGTCTTTGTCGGGGACGCGAAATGGATTCGCATGAAGGCGTCGGATTCTGTGAGTTCTCTGACGAGGCTGGAGCCAACAACGCCGTGAACACCCTCAACGGATCGGATTTCGATGGCCGACAGCTTCGAGTGAACCTGGCCAACAGAAACTGAGAACAAGTCCGCTCATCGCCTTCATAGATGCATTCATAGAGATTTCGAACTGAATGATCCATTTATCGCTTCCATTGTACAGGCCTTCAATAAAATATGCGGCTCTAAAAAAGAGAGCCGAAGTGAAGAGATAGTAACGGTTCCTATGTGTGCCGTGCCATTGTATTTCGAAACTGCCATAGTGCTACGAAACATTAATGGTCCGTGAGCCTTCGAGATGCGGAAGCCCTGGGTCCTGCGACGAAACCCTTGAACGATTCGTAGAATGTCGAGGATGGGGATATGTCCCCAAGGTTGGGGATGTATCCCCAAGGTTGGGGATGTATCCCCAAGGTTGGGGATATATCCCCAAGGTTGGGGATCCCTCCCCTCGTTGGGTGAGGGGAGATCCCCAAGGTTGGGGATATATCCCCAAGGTTGGGGATATATCCCCAAGGTTGGGGATTGTGTCCCCAAGGTTGGGGATATGTCCCCAAGGTTGGGGATATGTCCCCAACCTTGGGGATCCCTCCCCTAGTTGGGGCTGGCTGCACCCGGCCATCGATGAACTAACACGTAATGTAACGTCGAATACTCAGGCAAGCTGATGCCGCACTACTCGGCCGCGAACGCCGCGGGTTTGCCGCGGCCGCGCCCCAAATCGTGAAGAAAGTGGGGGAGCCCACAAGGCCTTAGATGAACCATTTTTGCGACCCGAAAGTGGGCCTGAGCTTTGTTACTAGAACCCATGTGATAGATTACAGCGATCGAGACGTCTGCGTCTTGCTTGTCGTGAAGCCCAAAAACAACGCTTAGGTGATCGTGAAATGCTCCTTTAAGTCATTGTATTGGGTTAAATTTCACTACATTGATGTAACCGTATTTCGAAGGCTATCAGGAGTAGGAGTGCTATTCTCGTGCAAACATGATGCTTTTTTACGCAAAGCTTGCGTCAAAAATTATCTTTAAATGCGGAGTTCTTCAAAAACTGGTGCGAAGGGGTTGGGGGTAGGAGGGGACACATGCATCTTGCATCATCTTGCAGAAAAGGTGATGCGTACTGAATTCTCGCGATTATTCTGTGATTTTGTTTCATGTCAACTGCACTTGTATTTGGATATTCAGTTGTTCTCATAATATAAAATACCTTTACAGGTCAAAGATGTTTCGCCGTCCCGTGGTTCGTACGACGAAACTGCGACATTCGGCTCGATTTGCCGCTAAAGAAGCGGCGCGGGTATTGGATGGAGCCGAACGATCGTCCTTGACCAATCAGAAACTCGCCAAGCTTGAACAAGACAACGCTCATGAAGACCCACATGCGAACATCGTCTGGCGAAAGGACTTGCCGAATTTCGAAGACGAGATGATCGGTGGGCCCAAGAAGAAAGGCAGTAGGAAGAGAACTGCTGCTGCTCCTGTCAGCGGTGGTGCTAATCCAGCCAAGAGGAGGAGGAAGTTTCGAGCGAGGCGATTTCGCAATTTCATATCCGCGCTTGATGAAGCTAACCAGAAATACCGAAAAAACAAAAGGTTATTTCGAGCATTCTTTAAAGCCACTGCACCAGCTCCCAAAGTGGATGGCAGAAAGTTCTGTGGTCCGTGTGGGGATGTCGGTATTTACTCTTGTATAAGATGTGGTACACCTTATTGTTCGATACCATGTCGTGATGTTCATATGGATACCAGGTGTGAACGATGGGTTCATTGATTTCTGTTTCTGTTGTGTTTTATTCAAGGTTCCTGTATTGTTTTCGGTTGGGTTACGTGTTATTTGATAAGGGTAGTTCTTCAAAATGCACGCGCTTTGGCGTATTCTGCTTTTAGCGAAACTACTGACTTGAACGTAATTCTTGTGAATATTCTGCTTCCAGTAGATCTCCATGTTTTTTTTTCTTTATGAGTAATAATGTACAAAATGTTATTTTCAATTTATGTTACAGTGAGGGTATGTTGACTTAGCACGTTGTGTGAGTTTTGAAAAGAAAAATAGAAGTAATTTCACAATAACGCTGTTTTTGTGCACAAGTCTTCATCGAAGGGGGGAGTCGAACCGTCACCCCTCCTTTCCGTACAGCTGTGTTACCAATCACAACGCCGGGCACCGCCTCTTCAGTCGCTCCTCATGGTATATTTCCATAGCTTATCAGCAGTTACACGTGATGAACCAGTTAGCCGACGTCGGCAGTGAAGCGCAACGCTGAGAGCTCTTGCAAATACTGTTGCTTTGATGCTGCACTCAACAAACAAAACCAGTCAAAGTGAGATAGGATTTTTCCAATCAAACTTGCTGGCTTCACTAGTCAACAAGAGAGCTAACTAAGAAATGAAAGGTGCCTTCACCTGCGGACAAACCGGAGCTGAACTGTGTGTATTTTTGCAAAAAAACGAAGGACAAGGCGTGTGAGGTGTGGTTCAACTAGGACAGACGCGAATTTCGCGTTGCGCCACGCGAAACTTTTCTCCGCGGCAAAAACCACAGGTCCACTGCATGATCAGCAGTGGATCTGAGGTTTTCCGCGGACGAAAATCCCGACGCTGAAAAAGCGAAAGGTCGCTCTCTTGAACCCAGACAGTGATGAGGAACGGCACTGAGCTATAGAAATCACAGCGCTGCTGACAGAGGAAAACCGGAGAGAGTACGTCATGGCGTGAGAGGTGCGAACAGCACGTTATTGCGCGACTGGGATGGAGGGAGGGGGGGTGGGCGGGGGGGGGCAACTACAAGACAAGGTTCCTATAGAAGCCGTCAATCGCGCCTTGCGTTGAAGAACCTTTTCTCATGCAGTCGGGCTGGGGTTCTTAGGACCTAACCCGGGACTGTGGCTTTAAGAAATACGGCGGACTGCGAAGGATCGCGAGTTATGGTGCCTCAAAAAAAGCTTGAGGTATAAAAACGAACCTCGATATTAACGCTGGGGTGTCTGGGATGGTTGGCTGCGAGGTGGCTAGCGCAGGGGACAATTTTGTTCATTAAACATAGAGGGCAGCCCGTTGTGCGCGTGTTTTCGCATTTGATCATTTTTTCTCAAAATCGCTCTTAAACCAACAATTCCGTCACTGAAGATAGACGCAAATTTTTTTTCGGGGGGTGGGTGGTGGGGTGGGAGGAGGTGGGGGTACTTTATTGGTATACAGAGAGCTTTGCATACAAAGAAACGCGAAAAAGTCGTGGAAAAGGAAGGGCGGATTTGTGTGGAAGTGTGGCGCCAGCGCGCGTATCCATGTTTGTGTGGCGGGTGTATCAAATAGCGATGCGAATCTACTTGGAAACAACCGCTGCAAGCGCGTCCTTGTGTCACTTCGAGAGAATCCATTCGTTTCCCATTGCGCGCTGGGAAAGTGCTTTGAGCCGTAGTTTACATTCAAGAGCCCATGGATTAAGGCAAAGGCAGCTGGGTGCTATCGCGCATTATGGCGCGGGTGATGATATTGAGTTTAGAGATGGGAAGTGGAACGATAGTGAAGAAAAAACGAAAAAAACTGTCGACAACACCTAAATCGAAACCCATTTCCTTCTAGCAGTGAAGGAGGCTTGCTCGGGGGAGAGTCACGTCCAAACGAGTTTTCTGGATATGCCAGCCGTTTCCATCGGTTGATCGCAAGTAACCTCAGTCGATATCTCGAATCTGGGCGTTGTAACCGAAATGACGTGGCAGCACCGCATCTTAGCCAGCTGCTGCGTGGACAAAAGGAACTCCGCAGATATCAGGAAGGCGTTGTTGGAAGCAGCTTATCGCGAATGGTGTATGTGTGTGTTGTGTGGCCTGCCACGTTATTTCCGGTGGGATGACACGGCCCAATCAGACTTCGAGGTAGCGATGTGTAGCTGATCTCACATCGGGTTAGCGCCAGCCACGCACACATCCGCGAGTAGGCGTATCCTGGCTGCCGGGAAATTCGGTGCAGCACGCAGACACAATTGGCAAGGCCCATAGCGCCTGTGTCCGCACACTTTTTTTGTCGGTGGTGTGTGGGTGGGGGGGTTCACACCCGTTTTGGGCTCTGGGGAGACCGTGGCAGCTTGTTTTTTAAAGCGACTTGCCTAATGTTTCTATCCTGATCTCGTGGCTTTAGGTAAAGGTAATCAGTGGTGACCCGGTGCTGGGAGTAGGACGTTTGATCAAGATTTCACACCTCCGTCTACTTCGCACCTTGCCTCGCACATATGCAGAGTTGCCTGTGGGATGACCTCACTTAATTGCATGCGCTGCCTGATGACCTTTCTCTGTCATTGTAAATCACATCAAAATAACTGAAAAACAAGCTAACTATCTTGATGAAGATGACAAAAACGGGAATTTATCATAACAGGCGTGAATCCATGGGTGCTTTCAATAAATTCACGTAAAACTTAAACCACTGTGCGTTTGCGGACCCTAAGCTATTCCCTTTTCACATGCATCATATGAAAAATGAAGTAAGATGAAGGAAAACAGCTGCGATGGAAGAAAGTGAGCTGAATGAATGGAAAATTTGTTATTTTTGATTTTCTCTTACTGTTGAATGCTTCAATTCTAGATGACTTTCGAGAGTCTGCTAGAAAGCGCGTTCCTCGCTCAGTGTTAAAGGAATCTTCCACGGACCATGGACCAGTGGGCGGGACCGGAAGTTTTTGTGACGAAATGCATGGTAGGTACGGATCCACGTGTCGAACGCACGAACGTGAACAGGATTCACTTCAAACCTTCCCATGAACGTGGATCCGTACCTACCATGCATTTCCGTACGCAAGACACATCGCGTCGCGCCACTGGTCTGATCGTGGAAGATTCCTTTAATCGAATCATGACTTCAATTGACAATTTTTCCCCTTTTTTGAGCTTTTAATACAACATAACAGGCTTGTTTTGCACGAGTTTCTTGTTTACCCGCAAATTTGGTTGGAAAAGTGCGGGAGCAAGTTGGGATGTCAACTGAGCATTTGGTACCGAATCCACAAAATACACTGGCGTGCAGTTGTGATTCAAAACACATTCTCGCGATGATGAAGGCTTCGAAGAAGATTAGGGTGAAGGGCGGATAACGGAGACTGACAAACAATAACTGAGGGTACTCATCAACCAAATCTGCATGGAACTGTTCAACAGGCCTCTTCTAATCAGTCGTGACTGAGATGGGCTTCCTAAATGTCCAGGTGAGGGTGAAACGTTCAGAGAAGTAGACGAGTGGGTGCAGCCGACTCCTCTCCCACAGTTCTGCAGCCCCATCTCGCACTTCCAACCGTGCACAAGTTTACCTAACTGAGCTACAACACTGAGCTGCGAACATCTTGCAAGGTAGCCCTCTTGCCTACCAACTATAACTTTTCCAGCCATTAGGATAGTCTTTTCGAAGACAAACATTGAAACCCAAAATGATGAACAAATGACCTTCGCCGACTTCTTCGCCTACAGAAGTCCGTTACTTTCAACATCATAATTTGATGAATACTCCTCTTGTAATTGAATGTTTAGGGATTGTAATAGTAATATCATTTAGATCGAAAATGTTTTGTTTGAATCAAGATATGCGCTTTTGAATTTGACGGTCAAATCGGCGGAAACTTTCCGAATATCCCAACATCGGTCAATGGTGACTATTAGGAACCTATTTCAGCAATTAGTTATTTGTGTTTGGAATACTCTTTGCATAGATAGGTTGCTCTGTCACAAGTGTACATATCGTTGACCGCCTCCAGGGAAGCTAATTCATTGAATAACACCTCAAATCACCTCATATTATGACTTCAATGACTCTTTATAGTTCTTCCGTTAATAAATTTGGTTTGCTGTAATGTGATTTACAATGACAGAGAAAGGTCATCAGGCAGCGCATGCAATTAAGTCAGGTCATCCCACAGGCAACTCTGCATATGTGCGAGGCAAGGTGCGAAGTAGACGGAGGTGTGAAATCTTGATCAAACGTCCTACTCCCAGCAGGGGAAGAAAGACTATGAGAAAGAACCCGAGATAATTCAGTGAATAGCCGAGATTCCGAATTCCTGAATGGTGTTGCACGTGTCGGATCCCAGCACTACACACCCATTGTGGAAGTCGATCGGCTTCAAGTCGTAGGAGCTAAAAAGAACCCCTCGATGAATGCCAGTAAAATCGACCACCGAGTTCAGCTATCTCGCAGTGCTTTCAGATGAAGACTCGCTGTGAGTGTTGGGGTTAGTTGTTGGCTCTTGGTGAAAGTCTTCCTGCGGGTGTTGAAAAAGAAACGCTTTTGCTCTTGCAAATCAGACCGCGAGTGGTGTCCATCATATTGACCCCTCGCCGGGGCGCGGTGTGTAGATCAATGTATATATTGGCTTGAGCGATGCATAGTATCGGCCATGGGAATCAGTCAAGTTCTTTGATCGCGTGATGTTCCACCATTGTGTGGACGCATTGGTACAGAGCTGCTCTGTCAAAAGACTATGATTATAATTATGCGCGAAAAGTCAGATGTTTCTCATGAGTCCTGAGAGTGTAACGGTTTCATAAAAGTCTGGCGCGTCTTGAGTGCGTGGAAAGGCCTTTTCTTATTGGAACCAGATGCGGGGGCTAATGGAATGTCGCAGGTGCCGAACAGTCCTCGCCATTCAGGCATGATTGAATTCACGAGATACAGAATTTCGGATTGATCGCATAGTTGAATGAGTTTTGTTGTGCTCTTTAGAAGGGCACATCGTCGGTTTCTGTATGGTTTTGAAGGATGCTTAGTCAGCAAACTAAATTACATTCTTAGAAATGCAACGAATTATTTAAATCAGTTTTTTTCGTTGCTTGTATGAGAGCATGTGTCAGGAGATCCCTATTTATGAGCAGCTGCGAATAGGAACTACCACATCGCATCCTATGCAGCAACTATTGTCTTGGCAGCGAAGGTTATTCTTGCATCTCTGGAGCATCTCCTACTATACATGAGGAAGCAAACATTGCTCGGGCAGTCGCAGTTTGAAGGCCATCGCCGGTTGGCCTGCTCCAGGCGAACGCCTGGCATTGGATAGCAGCAAAGACATCAAAAAACACGAGCATGAATTTTTAAAGGCCGTTGTCGCGCGTGCTGGTAGGTCTGCAATTGCGACACGTCCCACTGCTAGAAACCAGAGTGTCGATCTGGTGAAGTATCGTCGCTTTGTTGCAGACCTTTTGCAAAATCATTGACAAAAAGGTAATCCAAATTACTAAGTCATTCTTCAAAATTACTCTTAACGAAAGAAGAAATAGACGTACGTTAACTTTCTGAATTAGGGTGAGAAAAATAGAGCAGTATTTCCACTACGACAATACCGTACTACCAAAAGTTTTTTCGTGCTTTTCACTATCTTGAGCGCTTTTTTTTTATTATATCTGTTCAAATAAATACACTAAAATAAGTAGAAAAACACCTGTATAAAACTCTCCTTGTGCAACATCAATAAATATTGGAATTAACAGTTATTTGGCCTTGAAACAAGTGTGTAAGTAGGTGAGTGAAATGAAACATGCTTTTGTGAGACTTTCAGTCGATGAACTCTGCTGCATGCATCTATTTCATGGTCAGCAGTGTTCTTCAGTAAAACGACAATACGGTCTAGAAATGATTTAACAGCATTCCGAACAACACTAGTGGTGGTTAGTTAATAAGTTAGTGAGGGTTAGGTTGCTACAAACGAGAAGCCAAACAATCACAACACAATCTTCCTATTGGACTCAAAGCTCAGTCCACTGATCCATAGGACACGGTTAAACTCATACAAATAGATTCAGGAATGACATCATGGAATTTTATACAGAGAGATGATGGGCATCCGTAAGACGAACGTACATCGCATGCAGGCATCTAGTTCAGAAACAACGTTTGGTTTCAAGAGCCACCGTCGCACCGACTAACAAACGATGGTCTGGGATAGTGAATTGCGATGGATGTTAGTAGCGCAAGAAATGCGGTGTCCAATTAAAGCGCCACAGCTCCGAATATCCTTTCGCTGTTTCATGCATAAAGCTTCATGTTACCGGTTGAAAAATAATGAATTGTTCTTTGGGCGATACCTACGGTTGTGCAGTAACTAGGTGAATCCAGTTCGGGGGGGGCCACTCCATTTTTTCTCCAAGACTCAAGATAAGGATTAGAGGGCTCACGACACGTAATCGACTCATTTAGAGTAGACTTCTGATAAGTATATGGTGTAATGGGGGAGAAACCCTGAAACGTTTTCACATTTCCGCCTGCCATGACCCAAGGGAACGGTCCTGGACCAGGAGAAAGGACACCTCCGCAAAGGGCTAAGGGTGCAGGAGCTCCAGGGTGGATCACCTGTGCAGAAAAGTGGATGGGATGTGGGCAGGTAGTGTGGAATGTAGGACATCCACCGGTCCTTATCAAAAGTACGCTCGAAATGAGTCGTTCACTTATTATCTTATCCGTAGTGTTCGATAGCCCAAAGAACTGCTCTCTAGTACTACGGATAAGATAGCAATGGAGTGGCCCCCCCGAACTGGAGTTTCACCCCCTAGAATCTTTTCTAGTATACTGTCATTAAAACTGCTTTAAACTGTGTACAGCTACGGCAAAGAGAAGAACTAAGTATAATAAAACAGCAAAGCAACGGGAGATTGAAGCACAAGGACGAGCGAGACCCAGCCATAAATGCATAGGCCAGTCCGAGCTATTCTGGGGACTATACCACTGTTAGAGTAGCTACCAGGATTCATAAAATCCTCAACGCGCTTCATCATTGCAGAAATGGCACCGATTTTTGCGGTTGGGTTAACTTTTCCCTTTTTATTCTGACAGCAACCTTCATTTAGAGGTAGGCGAGGTGTCAGCCCTACATAATACGCGATGGGGGTGGCACAGTTGCGCGTGAGCATGCTGCTATTCGCTGTGGTTTCGTGTTACCAGGAAGGTTCAGGGCGTGACAAGCTTTTTGAAAACGGTCTTTTGCATGATATAGGGGCAGATGCGGGGAACCACAGAACCATGTTTAATTTTTCCTGAACGGCCCTCTGAATACCAGAAAAGGGGGTCCCTAGTTCGATTCCTCGTGGTGACAAATTTTTGCATTTCGAGTTGACGTTCCAAAATTCGCGCAAAATGGAGTTAGCATGAATAATTAGTACCATATTCATGATTAGGACCGTCAGTAACCCTTACAAATAGACTTTGATTAAAAAACTGGTGAAAAAGGTGTGACACCACAGTGGGGCTGCTTGGTGTCACACCTCTCACACCAATTTTTAAGTCAAAGTCTTTTTGTAAGGGTTACTGACGGTCCTAATCATGAATATGGTACTAATTATTCATGCTAACTCCATTTTGCGCGAATTTTGGAACGTCAACTCGAAATGCAAAAATTTGTCACCACGAGGAATCGAACTAGGGACCCCTTTTCTGGTATTCAGAGGGCCGTTCAGGAAAAATTAACCATGGTTCTGTGGTTCCCGCATGTGCCCCTATATCATGCAAAAGACCGTTTTCAAAAAGCTTGTCACGCCCTGAAAGACCTTCCTGGTGAAGCCACGTCACATCCGATTCAAAGGGTCAGCCTGGATGATTGCGCTTGTCCATTGAGCTCATTTGGCTTGGGCTATTAATTTAGGACAGACCAGCAACAATAGCCACTGAAAGTCCCGTCCAGTGTAGACCCGGATCCTTTATCAGTTTAAGCATTATTTCACGTGGACTGCCAAGGCGGTTAACACATGATTACGGTGTTAATTTCTGAGCTGCGTCTACAACTAACATAAGTGTAGATGAAAGCAGAGAAAGCAGCCTTGTTTATTGGCCGAAAAAATTGGTGTAACTAGTACTTGTAGCAAACTTACTTTGCTCCAATAGTTAATAGCATACGATAATGTTCGCATAGTAATCGGATGTTTCCGAATGAAGAACCCGCCAAAGTATATCCGTTTCAATGTAAATCGCATTCCATACAGCATTGCCATCTAGAACAAAACTCTTGAACTTATCAGCAACTTCGAGCTTCTTCTACTATAAACGCCAACGCACCTGCCCAATGTTATTACTAATCATTAGCAGTAGTGATTTGGCAATATCCTGCTGGGAAGCTCGCTCGTGATCTCCTCGAGCGTTACGTTTACCCATTCGACTACATTTTCCGAAGGAACCAGCAATTAAGTCTGCGGGCAGATTCAGGTTGTCGTACGAACCACCGTAGATATCACATACCTATAATAAGCTAACAATGGCTGGAAACTTCTCGAGGCATGCTTATTTATTTAAGTTAAAATCGTTGAGAAGATGTAATGGTGAGATGTTAAAACTATTTATCGGAATATTTGGAGATTCAAAAGATAATAGCAAAAAGAACACTGCTCGGTAACAAAATAACAAAAAGTAAACAAGCAAACGTACCAGTGTGTCACATTTACGGTGATCACCCTTTTCAGCCATCAGCAAAAGCTCATCGAAACCTAAAGCATATAGGTTACCATCTCATCAAAGAGTTAGATTAGACTCGTTAACAAGAACTCACTTTGTGCCTGCGTCAGAAGGTTCCCCAGACCAATAAATGCACCACCACCCATCGAGCTACCACCGACTCTTTGGAATTGTGTTGGCGAATCTACCTTAAAATGACTGATATAATATTCTAGCATTGAGCACTCCCGGAACCTCATCACTACCTTACTGGTAAATTATCCAAAAAGTTACTAAAATGTTATTCAATCATTGAATAAACTTTTGCAAAATAATTTTTTGATGCTTCTGTGTGTTATTGAAAAATCAAACTGATATGATATCCTCCGCAAAAACTGATAGAACAGAAATTCTTCTCTACAATGCAAAAAGTTATGAAGGGTACTTGTAAGAGAACAATAGAAAAGTGGAAGTAAGTTCGTCTGACATGGGAATCGGGACAGTTGTGAAAATGAGTGAAGTTCGTCTAAAGTGTGAAAATAACATATGCAACACCAATGAAAATGGCTAGGCTAAAGCCAGCCAGCAGGTCCCATTTGGAGCTTTTGAAAGGGTATGGGAGGGATTGCAGCAAAGGTAAAAATCCGAGATGGCAATTTATAAAGAGTATCATGAGTATAGCTGTTTAAATAACCCTTCATTAGATTTGCTAGCACAACAATTTCATAAAAAAATAGTCCGAATGTGAACTGACCTTTAAAATGGAGATTCCGGTCCCAATATTAACTAGTAGAAATGGATAGATCAAATCAGCAGTGATTGGCTTATATTGATACCTGAAAGAATACAACAATTAAGAGATACAACGGCAGATTAATCAATACGATGAAGATTAATGTACATGAGACCGCTTACTTTTCTATACCAACTGCTTCATGATGATAGGTGAATGACTCATCCACATTGTTCCTCAAGAGGAAATCACAGCCAAGTATCAGGGACGTCATCTCGTCTGTTCGTTGAACCCTGATTAACATTCACATATTAAAGAGAAAAGGCGGAAATCGTTTTTAAACATCGAAATTCAGACTCACTGTACTCCTAGAAATTTATGCATCATTTCAGCATATTTGAACGAACCACCACCAGTGCAGTGTATGACATCGTCAGCTACACGGTCATGCCAGTTCTGCAAAAATCTACTATTCTGTGAGTTACCCTGAGGCGAGGTATCGAACAGAATCATTTTGAAAAACCAGAAATGGGAACTTCGCACACTTCGACATTCGTCGACACCCTTGAAACATTTGGAAATATTTGCCTGAGAGATGAGCAAGCTGAAGTAGAAACTGATGACTAGTTCTCTACCACCATCGAGCAATTAGAAATGAATACCTCTCCTACTCAGTGGCTTTACTGTCAGGCCAAATGAGCTACTTTTCCACTACCATCGAAGTTTTGAAAGTAAATTTTTGAAAGGGAGCACATCATTTAGAGACGCTTAAAAAACGAAAATGTTAGAAGGGTTAAGTTTTCCATGGAACATCTCATTTGCTTTAACTTGACTTATTTTTGCTCAAAGGCTCCCGCTGCACTGCCGCATGCGAAAGAGCACTGAGATAACCTTCGAATGCGGTAAAGAGCAGTTCCTTCCTTCCGTACCAATCGAAACGCATATGTGGGAATTCCTTTCCTTCCTAATCCCATTTCAGGTGAAAAAGAGTTAGTAGTATACCCTGTCCGGAACACTAGTCATGCGTGGAGCGCGCAATTCCAGTAACCAATATTACAATAAGATTATAGAACGTAAAAAAGCACTCAGAAAAGGGAAAAGAGGCGCTCATTGCCGCATTCCACTATCATAGCTTGATGTTGTTTCGCGATGTTGCTAAGCTGCATCGGAGCTTGAGAGCAGGAATTGAAAAGATCGTCTGAAGTTTTCTGGATGTCGCAAACAGGTTCTATCAGATTCGACTTCAACGTCGCACTCCAAACGATCTTGATCACACCACCTCCCGCTCAAAAATTGGTGTGGCTATCAACACACTCAAATCACAAATCAAAGTTCTACCGCTGTTTTTATTCGATAATAATACTTAAGCAAGGTGGTGGTGTCCGTTCCTCCAAGTGGTGCCACTGGAAACTGCTCACCTTTGTGAGCTGAGCCGACCACGGACATTCGAATGCAGGCGACAGGCCCCCGTGACAGGCCGGCCTACGAACACCCACGTCACATCACAATGTCAATGTCGCTATACAAGTATCGAGATATATGCTACGGCGTCCTGCGGAGCCGACGCGCCACTCACAAGCCCCCGGGTGAAAGTATGCGAGGTCTCCATGCAAGGAACGGCCCTCGGGGGCAACTAGGCTAGTCCAAAAGTCTCGCAACGTATGGAAGGTTCGCGTTGCAACATTGAATGTTGGCACATTGACAGGTCGCTCGTGCGAGTTGGTAGAAGCACTGGAGCGAAGAAGAATTGATTTCTGTGCCGTGCAGGAAACGAGGTGGTCCTGCTGTAAGTCGAGGGACATTGGCCGCGGCTTTAAAGTCGTTCTCTGTGGCAGTCCCAGGACAACCAGCGGCGTCGGTGTGGTTGTCTCCGAACGTTTCCGCGATTCTATTGCGAATGTCGAACGTTACGATGACCGCTTGATGAAGATCGTTGTTGCTATGGAGCAGCGTCAATACCACATCTTTTCTGCTTACGCTCCACAGACTGGCTGCTCCGAACGAGCCAAGGACGAGTTCTGGACCTGACATGCAGAAACCGCTTAGGTACCATCGGAGGACGCTATCATTGTCGCAGGTGACCTTAGTGGACACGTTGATCTGCGAAAGATGGTTATAGTTGTCATGGTGGGTTTGGTTATGGGTCACGAAACGCCGATGGTGAGCGAATTCTTGAATATGCAAGCTCTCACAATCTCACCATCGTGAACACAAACTATCGTAAACGTGACTCACACCTCATCACGTTCTACAGCGGTAATACCAGAACTCAGATTGATTTCGTTCTTGTCAGGCAACGTGATCGAGGGCTAGTGACGGACGCGAAGACAGTGCCGTACGAGACAGTCGCTACGCAACATCGACCACTGATTTGCACATTAAAGATTGCCCCTCCAAGGACCAAGAAAGCCGAACGGTGTGGGCCTGCAAGGATCAAGTGGTGGCGATTGAAAGAAAAGGAATCCGCTCTGTTCAGTCGCATTCGGCTACCGCCAGTAACGACTGTCGACGAAACATGGAAATGTGCCACAGAAGCGATAGTCCGTGTTGCTCGCTCCGAGCTTGGCATTACGAAGCCTGGACGGCGGAAAATCGACAAGCAGACATGGCTGTGGACCGACACTGTCAGAGAAAAAGTACGGGAGAAGAAAAGGCTCTACCAAGTGTTTCTCGGTGACAAGTCAAGCGATAACTGGAACAACTATCAGAGCGCGAAGAAGGCAGCAAAGAAAGCTGTGGCTGTTGCTAGAGCAGTTCATCTCGATGGGCGTTAGCGAGAAGCTCGAGACGGCGAACGCTATATTTACAAACTAGCCAAGGCTCGCCATCGCCAGACCGAAGATATCGAGAAGTTCTTTGGCATCAATGACGAGAACGGGCGACTCGTAATGGACCGCAAGAGGGCTGTGAAGCGGTGGCACGACTACTTCGAGAAAATCTCGACAGTGGAATTCTCACACCCGCCAATACCTTCTGCTCCTCCGGTCCACGGCCCTGTCTCGAAGATAACTGTGAGCGAAACAGAGGCGGCTTTGAAGAAGATGAAGACAGGTAAAGCAACGGGTCCCGACGACTTGGCGGCCGATCTGTGGAAGTCACAGTGCTGGAATCCAGCAGAGTGGCTGACGAACTTCTTCAACCAAGTCGTCGCAGAAAAGAAAGTGCCGGAGAGTTGGCAACAGAGTACGACGATCCCGATTTGGAAAAAGGGGAGTCCTGCAGATTGCACGAGCTACCCGACCAATTCGTCTGCTCTCCCACAGCATGAAGGTATTCGAACGAATTGTAGATCGCCGTATTCGTGACATAGTCCAGCTTACCGTGAACCAATGCGGCTTCGTGACTGGCTGCGGCACCATTGATGCCATACACGCCGCTCGTCTTCTGCTAGAAAAACACCGTGAAAAACAAAAGCCGGTGCATTTTGCCTTTCTAGACTTGGAAAAGGCTTTTGATCGCGTTCCACGTGAAGTAATATGGTACGCCTTACGACAACATGGCGTCCCCGAAGAGCTTATCGAGTGGGTTCGCATGCTTTACTCAAGCCCAAAGAGCCGAGTGCAAACGTCAGCTGGCGTTTCGACAGAATTCCCCATCTCTGTTGGGGTACATCAGGGCTCTGCGCTTTCCCCACTTCTTTTCGTTGTCGTCATGGATGCCATCTCACGAGATCTTCAGAAACCGGCTCCATGGACGCTTCTCTATGCTGATGACGTGATGCTCGCCTGCGAAGACAAAAACGTACTCGAACAACAAGCGCAAGCTTGGTGCGATCGCCTAGCGATGTTCGGACTCAGGTTGAACGTTAGGAAGACTGAGTACCTGACAACCGACACGAGCGAGTGCGGTTCTATCAAAATAAATGGAGTAGAGCTGACACGTGCAACGACATTCAAGTACCTTGGATCAGCAATTGCGTCTGATGGCAGTATGAGTACTGAGGTGAACTCGCGTGTGAGTGCGGCTTGGTCCAAGTGGCGTTCTATGACGGGAGTTCTCTGTGACAAGAAAATCCCAGAACGCCTAAAATCGAAGATCTATAGGACAGTCATAAGACCAGTGGCATTGTACGGCGCTGAGTGCTGGCCAGCGACCAGGGACACTGAAACTCGCCTCGGTGTAATGGAGACGAAGATGCTGCGCTGGACGGCTGGTGTCACGCGATTAGATCGCGTCCGGAACGATGTCATACGAGAACGCTTTGGTGTAGCTCCCATTGCTGATAAAATGCGCGAAGCTCGGCTTCGTTGGTTTGGCCACGTTCTTCGCGGAAATGATGACAGTGTTCGCAAGATCGGCCTCAACATAGACGTGCACGGAAAGCGGCCCAAGGGGCGCCCGAAACAGCGCTGGCTCGATACGTTGCACGCAGACTTGAAGTTGGTTAACATCCACCCCGACCAAGCATTTAATCGGGAAAAGTGGCGACAGCACATCAGAAAAGCGGACCCCGCCAACAAGCGGGACAAACGCTGAAGAATAAGAAGAAGAAGAAGAAGAATATTCCTATAAGAACCGCTATTCGCTGTTGTCGTCATAACCAATCAAACTCTGATGTCAATTTTAGAATAATGTAACACAAGCTTTATGGCAACGACCATTTAGATTATTCGGCAACGCTGCCCACGTCATCACTTATACGCTGATTCTTGATGCGGGTTTCTTATTCAGGAACGATACACGTCAATATCGAGTTTGTAGTACAAAAATCGCATTGATTCGAATTACCCCACATTCAGACTCACATTTTTGATGAACTCGAGGCAAGCTTCGATAGATGTGAACTTCATGAAGTTGAGAAGAACTTCTGGTCTATTGGAGTTCTGAAATGAACCTTTCCAAATTACTGTGTCTTATTCGAATCACAAAGAATAATTGATGAGGAAAGCTCCCATGGCTGATTGGACAGTTTTTATAGTCGGGAAATTTTATAAACCTTGAAACTCAAACAGTGTGACTTTCCAGAAAACACACATTTTTTTTAAACTAGGGAGAAGTTAAGGGACCAAAAATGTCAGCGCACACTACCTACACTTAGGAATTAGGCACGTTCATTGGTAGCGATTCAGGCGAGACGTACCGAGTGGGCAAGAGGTGGGTGGCGACTGCGCTTTAGGCAGATGGGATTGCATGTCTATCATTTTTACTTAGTTAGCACGCCTCTGATGAGTCGCCTACTGGCCTATTCGTCTATTCGCCTGGGTCAAGATCCGTGAGCAAAGCGTTAGCAGTTTCAGCGGCACTGTAAACTACGTAGGTTAAGGAGATTTAACTAGCAAAGTAAAAGACAATTCTAACCGAAAATCAAGGGAAACCAACCTCTACTGTTTCACATACTGTCGAGTACACTAGTTTTACCAAGGTTCCACCTGTAATTATTGAAATAAAATGAATCCATTGCATCCCAACCCATCATCATAACATTGAATTTTTGAAATAGCGTACTACTTCTTCGATACCTCTTTTTCACTCATAACTCCCAATATTTCCGTCCGTATTCAGATCTCCGCTCAAAAAGCCTACACTCAATCCATCTATACCCACTGTGTGCGTGCAGGTAAACTCTGCTACTCACTGCTAGAAGCGGAAAATACCACCCTGCCCGAGTTCAAAACTCCTCATTTCCAAAGCGAGGGAGTAGAAGTCCGAGCTTCCGAAAATGGAAGGTTTCTATTTGCGACCGTTTGTGAGCACAATAGCCCTTTTAACGAGAAATTTTTTCCTCAGTAACAAGTCTTCCGTTGAATACCTACTGGTCAATTCCTACCAGTCGTATTCAAAATAGTTATAAAATAAATGGGTTATGAAGCAACAAACCTATATCTAAGGCGAATCTACTTTTTTTGATAAATGGCGCGAATCTGGCCTCCTCGGGCAGCACAATAAACGGTGTCGTTGGTTTTTCGCGTAATATCGGCTGAAGAGGACGAATAAGGCCATTCGTAACGTCATCCGCCTGCCTAAACGGAAATTCATCCAATATGGTCGCCTTGAACCGTGAATTACGAAATCGATTTAAAAACAGAATCTGGCTGAATACGTTACGTACTTCAAGTTGCAGTTCAGCAGCAACTCGTCCATAATGCGGTCCGCACGAGGTCTCTGAGAAAGCGTACTTTAACCCAAAACTACATGAGAAGAAAAAAAACTAGAAAGCACTTTTGGCGGAGAATTAACCAGTGATCCGCAGAAACATATTGGTTTAGTGAAGAGCGGATTGAAAAAATGTAGCGAACCTTGTTCGGAACGCGCATTCTTGCCGCCAGTGGCTCAGCGGAATCCGTTGAGCCGGCGGTTGGTCTACGATTTCGCACAGCTCCACTACGTCCCATCGTTTGGAGGGTTTAGTAAGAATGTGACCGGAAACTTGCCGGAAATCACACGCAAGCACAAATAACACCTCAAATATCTACTATTTTATTTTATTCTCAATAAACTATGCACAAATTACGATGAAATCAAAACGAGAAAACAATACGATAACATCGGTTTCCGAGGTACAAAAAATCAACAAGAGAGATGAAATTGACATCGATACTAGAGCAACACACAGGAACATATACCATAAAGCATTAATGATTCATGTTATGGCTCAGTTTTCATTATGCAACCCTTTTCATTGTCAAACAAGAACTGCCCGCATCACGATTCGCATTAAAGGCAAAAACAAATCTTTGATTTGTCACGTTGAAATATCTGCAGTCACGTAGACCCTGAGCAAAGATTGACCTGACCCTCAAACGTAATTCCCCAGATTGGTAAATTTTCACGGGAGAATAAAGGCAGTCACCAGGGCACACTTTCTGATCCTTTTCCATGTTTTGTGAAAGATCTTATACCAAATATCGAAGCAGAAAATATGGTAGGAATAGAAGAATATGCAACTTTTCAGGAGAAATTCTTCAATGAATACGAAGACTTGCGGAAGTTGGGAACTGTCGGATTACCGAACTTCAGAATGAAAGTGTTATATAATCCTAAAGGGCAGCAGTGCGCATCCTGTGACTTCCACGAATTAGCCATGGCTTATAAAGACTTTCCTCCAAGTTCTCAGTGAACTTTTCAAAGTATACAAAAGATACGGCAGGTGACGACGGGAAAATCAAAAGTGCGTCTCAAGGCAGACTCTGGTCGAGCGAATCCTGTTCTATCAAAGTTCACTGACGACACTTATGAAGATGCACTACCGTTCTGAGCACTTTCGACCACTATAAGGTGCTCACTGAGACGCTTGCTAAACCTCGGGGTTTAAACGCTACCACCAGCAAATGGTCTCATGGAGGTGTGCTGATACGACGGAACCGAAAAAGTGTTGAGATAACAACAGCAGGAGTGGAACCAATTAGAAATCGATAGGAAAACAGAACGATGCTTGGTAACTCCTAGCATTCGCAGAATCACAATAGCCCCGTGCTAATATAGACATCGGACTATCGCGTGATTAAAACAACCGAGACACAATGATGGCCGATTCTAGCGGATCTGGACAGGGTGTGCGACGACGACACATAGAACGATAACGGCGACAAATCACTCGACTGTCTCCATCCCCTATAACAGTGAAGGGGCGGTGACATTACGTAGACAGCACCAACACCAGCAGCAGTAGCTGTCGCTAACAAAATGCTGTTCAATCGAATTGACGGTGATTTCTCCTCCCCCATTACCAGCATGTTACGTCAGCGCCAATCTTTGTATAGAAGTGTGATAAGGCGAGCATGAGCCTGCGTTCATCTAATAAGATGTTGCCGACTAGAGATCAACTCGACGGCGAAGTCAGAGGTCATGAGACATAACATCAGAAAATTGTACCAAACTGTAATCTGAATTTGCCTGGGTAACTGGTTTCAGTTCAATTGCATTACTTCAAAGGGGTAGAACAAACTTGAATTGCCACCTTTGGCTGTCTAAACAACTTAATCAATCGACGGTACTCCAACATAAATCAAAGTGGACAGACCCGATACACGGGTCCAACTGATATCAAGGGGTTACCTGCCACTCTTTAGAGACCGTTTGCTTTATATTGGGGAACAAGGTGTAGGCGAACTGTGAACTAGGGTGCCATTGATCACCATACCGATAAATGTGGTGTGAAAACAATCTCGATAACCAAAAGCGGAAGAAAAGGAACGAGATAACGTGCACGGGACACACGTGCATCCGTGTGTCACGAACTTAAGGCATTTAAACATGAAAACATTAAATTTCTATCATTCAACATACACTAATTGGAGGACTAAGTAGCCTATTTTTTACAAGAGAACAAAAGCACCCAGTTCAAGATACTGCAACAATGTTTCACAAAATGACAACAAAATTGGCAATACAAGGAAAAAAGTATGCGGATATCAATCACTACTGCAACGTGTCAGACATGACAAGTAATCGAATACTGCGCACCTTGCCCTTCTCTCACGGATAAATGGGAGGAGGTTGAGGGGTGAAGATCCTGGGACGATGTCCATAGTCGCGAGGTGGTTCGTTCCCATGCCAATCCTTTAAAAAATTGTGTAGTGTGGTGGCTAGAGTGTAGTGTAAACATTTGAGGTCACGGACGTAGAACAAAAGCGCTGCACAATAAGGAGAGCGCGCTAAAACGAAAACCTAGAACAAAGATAAATCAATGGTGACACTAACCGATTCTCTATACGATGGCCTGCGATCCGTTCCTTCAAAACGCCTTCTATTGAAACTTCCTCGATTCGGCATATCTGAAAATTTTGACATCTCTAGTAAGTATGATGGGTCAAGAACAAAATGTTTGCCCAAGCAGGACTCGAATTCGCAAAACTCGTTTAATGGGCAAGTGCCCTACAATTACTTCACCAGGGTAAGTTTGCTAATTGCCCTCGGAGTAACTTTGTTGATTGCCCTCTTTACTATCTTCTACTATTTCCGCTCTCATTGAGGAGTCTAACTAGGAGTTGTCGCAAGGAAAGCTCTGGCTTCACCAATTCTCTAGAAACTCGTAAAGGGTAGGACGGGTATGCTCTAGCATTGAAAGGCCAACCTATTAAAGGCAGAATTTACGATGAAAAGTTAGCTCATTGGAAATAAGGGTAGAGGTGGTCAGTGGAGCAGGGATGAAGAAGAAACCATTTGAAACGGCCCAAAACCCGAGAAATGGGACCCCTTCCTTGCCCGTTGATTTGCGCATTGATGCGACTCTCATCGCTGTGCCCTCTTCAACACTACGCTCTCTCTGCTATCTAATCACTCGCCACGTATAGACAGATAGTCGGTGGGCGTACCCGCCAACTGCGCCAAGAGTGAGCCATGCTAGATCGCCGAGGTCAAATCTTTCGCTGCCAATTGCTCGTCGGTCAGCACCCTCAGGAGGTTGGCCTGTTTCCCAACTATGCAATTTTCCCTTTTTTGACCTCGTTTCATCGTAAATTCCTCCTTTAGAGATTGGATAGCCAATTTGATTGAGAATTTGAGGATTGTGAAAAGGATGGCAGCAAAATTGAATGGTGGTCTTCCGGTGAATTCGATGATGATTCTGGAATCCATAAGCTACTGAAAGTCAAAACGGCGCAGCGAAAAATGGGAAGGAGAAGAAGATTAACACCTTGGAGCCCATGCAGCCCATATGTGGGCTGCAGTCCGTCGACCGCGTAGGACCTTTCAGCTCACATTTCGGAAACAAATAAGTTTTTCTTTTGCTTTTTCTTTTCCATTTCATTCGATAAGGATTTCTTCTGCATCATACAGTAGGTTTTCTTTCAATTTGCTTGATAAGATTCCTAAAAATTTCACTGAAGTCCCACGCGCCGAAAAACGTGAAACATGCGCGGTCTCCAAAGTGTTAGGAAGCAGGATAAGAAACCGTGATGACGGCGCCTTCGTGATGTGATTAGAATCCGTAGATGAGAAGCCGAGGCTTCCTTTAAGTTAGTTATACATGGTCCCCGATCAGTAACCAACTGACTGACGATATTGCTCAGTTTATACGTTCGCCACCAATATACACTCATAAATAATGTGACTGTGTTCATCATTGTGTAAAAATAACCATTTGCGGACTATTCATTTCCAAAAGATACAATATTTGCACGACTTCCCAATTAACTTTTCCACAGAAACTCCACAATCTAGCCATTTTTGCTCCCAGATTAATCATCTATACGTAGCAAGTAATATTGTTCGAGTGCAATTCCTTAGTGCGAAAACAAATAGGAAAATGATTATCCTCGTTTCATCGCTTTGCTATGAACTTAATAGATGTCCGACTTTTCCCACCCACTCGGTCTCCAATCGCTGCAAAACCTGCTACCTGCATCAGCACATCTGACTCTGATTTAAGCACCACAAACCGATCAGACATTCGTCACGTGAAATCGACATGAGCTAGAAAATCTAGCTGACTCAAACACAAAACAGGCGATGGAGCGATAAATTTGCTATCATCTGCCCATAACAGTGATCTTGTCGAATGGTGCGATTATCTGGCGTGGTCTGAGAAGCAGCTCCAGAAACGATTAAAAGATTTAGCTATCGAACTAAAGACTAAAAGCTAAAATAACGAGGGTGGAAAATGTGTACACTAATACGCATTAGATGAATCAGAGGCGAAGAAGCTGTCCTGTGAGAACAAAAACTTCCTCAATCAGATCGCAACGCATAACAAGCATAGCATAGGCACGGCCGTCTGACTATCCTACGCCAGAAGTAGGGCACTAGCAAGAAAGTCGCTATAACTCGCACGGACCAGCAGTTAGGTCCCGCTCCGGCTAATCTGACCACTACAGAACCAGGCAGTTCACGTCAGGATTATCTGAGAAAGTAAACTATGGTCTGCACACCGGCTGAGCTCCGATACATAGTCATTTCATAGGTGAGACATGCGTTCAGATGGGTGCAGCAGAGTGCATGACGAATCCCAAAAAAGGTTGCCCAAAACGCTTTTCGTGTGTTTTCAGAAATATTCTATTGATGTAAATGTTGTTTGTTTTGTTTATTTAGAAGTCGAGTTCTCAACATCAACAGCTGTGCCGAATGTGGCAGTCAGACCCGAGCGACAAACTCGGAACGGGTTCCCGCGTTAAAACAGAGATCACTTTATGGCAGCCAAAGATCTTGAAACCTGCTAACACTATTCCACCATCTCGTGTCGCTCTTATGAAGGGAATACATAGCGTTCTTTGTTAATACGGCCGAACACGATACATGCCAATCAAGTGACGTTTTCAGATCCAACTGCGCTTTTTGCCTTCAACTGCTGCCGAAATAGCGATTTTTTCAGAACCAAACCACTAAAAGGTGATCAAATTCGCTGTAGTTACCTCCCCTTCAAAAAGCGAGAAAGTGTCGGGTGCAGACCAAACAC